ACACAAACACCGCGATGCCGCGTGTGTGAGTGAGTACTACAAGGCCATCAGAAAACCAATCCCCTCAATAAACAAGCACATCTTCATGCCACCACTGCACAGGCTCGAACCCAGGAAACCTTTCTGGCAATATTCAAAGAACATCCACAACGACCACGACAACAAGACCACCGAAGCACGATGGAGGAAAGCCCTGGGCAAAGACCATCCTGCTGCAGAAATCCATCGTCAGCGACCTCACAATCCTCCAACTCGGATCTGGCTGACCGGGAAAGATCTGCTCCTCCTTGAATCGGATCCGGACACTCCGTGTAAGATGTGTCCAACTTTCTCCATGAATGGAAAATAAACGAGGGTCCAGTTTGTGATTTGTGGTAGTGCAACACCTCAGACCGTGCGACGTATCATGAACGACTGCTCCAATCAGATCGTTTAACGGCGATCTGAAACAAATCCACGCGGCTACTCCTGAAGCAGTCGAACGGACATCAAATCTCGACATCAATTTGCAATCTGTTGCAATCCCCAAAAATGCCCTACGAAAGAAGATTATTTTAAAAAGATAGCGCACAGCTATTTGTCAATCTACTGCTGGATGAAGGCCTCCCCATACACTATCAGTCATGGATAGGGTTTGGACCATACTTCACCATTTTGGTCAGTGCAGGTTTAAGTGGGGAGGAGTGGTTGGGGGGGGGGGGGGGGGGTGGTACAGGACCAGTTCTGATACCACTCGCCACTGATGTTAGCTGTGGCTGGGAGTCGAACTCAGGTCATCGATTTAAAAGTCCATTGTGGAAATTACTGCACTGCCACTTGGCCACACGTAATATAACATAAACAACAACAACAACAATCTACTGAAAGCAACCACTGTAAATACGCACCAAATTTAAATCCAAAATATAATTACTCAAATAAAATGTGTAATTATAAATTAACATAAATCGATGTATATGCATTGATGAATGTATGCATGTATGTATGTATTGTGTTTGCATGTGTATGTAATACGATACATATGTTAATTGATCAAACAAGTCTTTCTGGCAAAAATACAGGTGTTCAGATGTAAAAAAAAAACAAATAAGACACCTATTACAAGGCACTAAGTCTGCATTAATCCCACATACCTGTGGTAAGAAATGCAAAGAAGTACGCTCTTGATAATGTATCCACCGTCCTTGAAATTGATTCTGCTGCACCAGAGGCAGATTATTTTATTCTATCATTCAGTATCTCGATACTGGAAAAAGGGATCCCATAGAGAGTTTCATACGCTCATTATGTCCTCAAATCTCTGCGCGAAGGCAATTTCTAGTCACTCCAGCTGGCCCTAAATCATGGGTTCTCCTCATGCTATAGTATGGACACTTCACAGACATAGCTTCTTGGAAGGGGCAGATCACTTCACCCAAATGCTCATCAAATGTGGGGTTTTTTTTTCGCCCATTCACGCCTCGTCATACAATAGAACCCGATGCAGCACAAGCGTGCAATCAACGGTAATTTAACTTAGTGGTGGAACTGTAAAATGCCGCAATCACGCCACCCTCTATCGCCTGTCCTCACCCACGAGCTCTTAAAATCACGTATGAAGCAGGCACTGACCCTGCGTGTGTAGCACACACATCCCACGCAGTGCGCACAGTCATTTCTGATGGTATATATATATATATTTTTTTTACCAGGTAAGGCCCGCTGAGCTATGTAACTCTTTTTCAGAAGCGACACGGCTATCACAAATGACAGCTCAACTTAGTGGCTTACTCTCAACGCACGTGTTTCTCGATGTGCAGGGAAACCCCGGAGAACCCGTAGGAAAAATCCACGTGACCACGGGCGAGAGAGGCATTCAAACTAACAAAAACACAGGTGTCAGGGCCAAGATCAAACCCGCGACCTCCTGCATACCGGGCGAGGTAATTAACATCTCGCCACCGTGGTTCCTTGGAGTTTATTGAAACCCCATTGAAAATCTCCACAAGTGACATCAAATGCCTTTATTATTTCCATTAATTTTTCTTGTAATTTTTTTAGTCGTTCCTTTTTTTTTGCGCACAGCTAGTTTGTCCTGAGAGAGACATTGTTTGTAGAACAGCATTATCATTTGACGGTTCAGACGTGCATGCAGCGCTGCCGTAAAACCTTCCATGACAGTAGAGCACTTCCTGTTCACAACTTCATAATCTTCTTAATCGCGGGGCATTTTCAATGATTCGTTCTGACACTGCCGTCTGTAGTTTTGTGCACGTGTCAAGGTCTCATAATTCCAGTTCACCTTTTAGGAGCCCCTTCATATTTGGTTGTCATTCCACCACGATTATTTTGTTACTTTCTTTCGTTTTATTTAACAAGCCTCGTTATATTTTTCAATTTAAAGCTTTCGTGACTGCAAGGATTCATCTTCTTTGGTTCTTTCGGTAAAGTCACGTAGAATGAGAATAAAATAATAAAATAAAATAAGACAATAAAATTCTCACGACGTTTCGGCCACAACACAAGTAGCCTTCTTCAGGTGAAAGAACAGAACTGTCGGGACAACAAGAACCAAAGAAGAAGCCTCGTTATATATTATTATTATCACATCTGCTCATTGTTTATCTGTCTGAGGTTGGCCAAGTGACTCACCCGGCCAGAGCACTGAGCCAGTTCAAACTTAACCGTGTTCTCTAGTGCAGTGAGTTACCAATGGATATAAGGGGGCGTCCATAAATGACGTCACGCACCTAGAGGGGGGGGGGGGGGGAGTCAGACATCTGTGACGATGTGTAACGAAAGGGGGGGAGGGTTGAGAAATGTGACGTCACATCAAAATGCACAACTTTAAATAAATATAGACAACACGTTCTACTTAATAAAATAAACTTTTTAATAAATGTTTTCTCCTACAACATCAGAGTGCAGCGTCACATTAAATATGCACTACAATGACAATAGTTTAAAACGATTTAAAGCATGTTTTATGTGGGGGTGGGGGGGGGCAGAGCTTTTTGACGTCATATTTGAGGGGGGAGGTCTGACTTTTTGTGACGCCGTGTGACTAGGGAGGGGGAGGGGTCAAAAATCGTCCAAAATCGCGTGACGTCATTTATGGACGGACCCTAAGGGCTTTTAACACTCTGTTTGGCAATTTTCCGGTTCTGAGAATTGAACATTTTGGTTTGACAGCCAAGGGTAAGAGGGCGGGACTTAGGGATGTAATTTGCAAGTAAATGTAATCGCAGAGACGGTAGGGGTGAGTGTCGGCTAATCCGAGGAGAGGGGATGGGGGAGCTGTCGCAACGGGCGAGAGGGTGGGGGTGAAGTTTACAGAGGGAAAAAGGTGATAGAGAGAAAGAAAAAATATCAAACTTAGCAAACTTAGACATGTAATGCAACTCAGAGAGTTGGCCAACACAACAGTTAACGCCATACCTCTCGCCTGTTGCCATAGCTCTCCCCTCCTCGGATTAGCCGACACTCACCCCTACCCTCTCTACAATTACATTTACAGTAAAACCTTGGATTGCGAGTAACTTGGTCTGCGAGTGTTTTGCAAGACGAGGAAACATTTTAAATAAATATTAATCTGATAAACGAGCGAGGGTCTTGCAATACGAGTAGTACGTATACGCTTTGTCTGCCGAGCGTCACGTGATCACAACTGATATACGCTGTGCTTTGAAATATGAGTGCTTTGGATTACAAACACGTTTCCGGAACGAATTATGCTCGCAATCCAAGGTTTTACTGTACTTGCAAATTCCATCCCTAAGTCCCACCAACTTACCCTTGGGTGTACCCACCACAAACGCACACCACCCTTGGTTACAGTAGCTCTCTCGTTACATTTTCTCCTGCCTCAGCAGTCCGCTTGCTGTATTGTTTCACCTGAAGACGATGGCTTGTGTTGCTATCGAAACGTCGTGATTTATTAGTTATTTTTTCTACCTACATGACTTTACCGAAAAAAAACAAAGAATATGAATTCCTGCAGTCACGAAAGCTTCAAATCAAGATTGCAATTTGTTAGTTTGTTATTAAACGGTGTGGGAAAATAAAAACAAATTATCAGCATTAAAAATTGTAAGTCGTTTGTGATTAATAAATGTGTAGTGTGCTAATTCACAGACACTAGGAGGAGGTACTCTCTCCCTTTTATTCCAGCCTTCACAGCCTTAGGGGATAACCACGAACTGCGTCGGGACAGCCAACATGCTGCCAGACCCACAGCTTGACGAGGGTGAGGATCACGACTGCGACGAGGACGGCAAGATGAGTTCCACTCCAGATCGCAGCAGCCCTGACTGTGAGTCGGAGCTCGCCTTTTATCCTGCCCAGCGTGGCCAGGCTCCGCCCTCGGCACCGCACCCCTCTGGATCCCTCAGAGGGCTCCGTGCCTTGCCCACAGGTCCAACTGGTAGAACGGGGCTGTTACCCCTGATTCTATTGCCTACCATTCTCCCAGCGGCACGCGCTCCAGTGATTCATTCCACGTCACTGCAAATGTATCAACAATATTGCCACGACTACTTTGTGTTTTTTTTTATCTTAAATCTGTTGTATACTTACATGCAAAGTCTTCATTAGTCTTGGCCCAAGCAGCCAAGGCTTTCAGTCAACCTTCGCTAAGTAGGTCGCTCATTCTTCCCTCCTGCCCTCACAGTCTGGAACTCCATTCCCCCAGCAATCCGTGCTGTCAACTCCCCGCCCTTGTTAAAGTCCAAGACCTCCCCTTTGTCCCTTTGTCCTCTGTCCATGACTAACCACTTCTTTACAAGGTAACTATTGCCCACCGTTTCAGCGTCTGGAGAAGCAGTCGCATCTGAAATCCATTTAATTCCGAATATCTTTTGTAGGACCCTGTGAATCGTACGATTTTACTTTTTTTTTTTAAAGCAACCGCACATTGGTGTGTAATTGTACGGGTGTGTCTCCGAGCGGCCTGGCTGAAAATTCACTTCGGCATGGCACACATTTGAGAGAGCCCTTTGCGGCATAATTACACCCGGACCAACCTTCGATCTCTTTGTTTCCACGAAACCATCGGATGTTCGCCACGGGCTTACTGCCTCGCGTCCGGCATGTCAGGCGGACCCGGTCGCCCTGCTCGATCGGCCCCTGGATGCTCGACATCACCGGCTGCTTCGGGGGCACTGGGAAAGAGTGGCAATAGACATCGTGCAAATATAAGAGTCTGACTTCTCGGTCGTCCAATGTTTAATCCGTGATGCAGATTTGATTTTTTTATTTATAAATCTCGATTGAAAACTCATTTCTTTAGAAGTGCTTTTTGTGTTTAGTCTGTTGTCCTTCGCCCCCACACCTACCATTAGCACGGTTGGCTACGTACGGTGCGAACGAAGTTCAACATACGCCCATGCATTCAATTTTAGAGAAGACAACATTTTGTAATAATAATTATATTCACGTGGAAAAGTACATGATGTATGTTGAAAGTCGAGTAGAATATTCATGCGAAGTCTTGGAGGACAGCCAAGATTGAGCATAATTTGGTCCCAATAGGTTTACACACTGATGATGTATTTTTAACGGCATAATTATCTCGTGGGCTTGAGATGCTGTAAACAAGGGAGAGAGAAAAAAAAACACCGCGGGCTCGAGATTTCTCATTGCCAACATGACTCTCAGGTCGTGTTTTTAATTGAAAGTACGAGCACTTAAAGGAAGAAAAATACTCCACAGCAATGAAAGGCTACTCCCGTAAAGCGTTAGTTTAATGGGCAAGGCTCCATCCTCCGAGGCACTTCTAAGCAATGAAGTCAACTCCTAACACATTATCGCCATGACCGCTTACATCAATGTTCACAGTCGTGGACAGAATAAAACAGCACCGCACAAAAAGGTTTGAAACAACAAACAAAATACAACTCTCTGCAATACACTTCCGCTTAATCATCACGTTGCTTTTTGTTGTTTTGCCTGGGGAGCAACACTATTGGATCGCTGTAATTCTGCAGCGCAGAGCAATCATTATACTCCATGCAGATGTAAACTGCAACAGAAAACACACAACACAAGTTATAAGTGGACGCTGATTTTAGTATGGACACGTCCGGGCGTGTTTTGTGGTGGGGGGAGTGGGGTGAAGGGGGGGAGGTATTGGGGGAGTGGGGTAATGTGTTGGGGAAGGTGGTGGGGGCATGGAGGGGGGGGGGGGCACGTGAGTGGGGGGTGTTTGTTGGCGGGGGTGGGATGGGGGGGGAGGATGGTGGGGGGTCACGTGAGTGGGCAGCTACCGAGGATCGTGACGTAGGTGGAGGCGAGGCGGATTGGCCGAGTGAAGAGCGCGCACGTGTAGTCGCCCTCGTCCGACAGCGTCACGTTGGAGACGGAGATGTGCAGCTCGCGGTGCGTGTGCCGCACCAGCTCGATGCGCACGTCCTTCAGGGCTGCACGGCCACACGCAGCAGCAGCAGCAACAACAACAACAGCAGCATTAGCGCCAGCAATGGCAGCAATAGCAGTAGTAGCATTAGCGACAACAGCAACAGCGGCATTATCGACAGCATCATGAGCAGCAATAGCAGCATTAGCAAATGCATCATTAGCGGCAACGGCAGCAGCATTAGCTTCAGCAATAGCAGCAACAGCAGTAGCAGCATCATTAGCAGCAGTTGCATTAGAAACATTAGCAATAGTAGCAACAGCATGAGCAACAGCAATAGCAGCAACAACAGCAGGAGCAACATCAGCGTTCACAGCAACAACAACAACAACAGACAGTAATAGCAGCAGCAACAAAAGAATGCCCCACATAGCTTGTTAGCGAGCACCTATGAAGGCCGGAATGGCACACGAGGGGGTGGGTGGCCAGCACCACGCCCGCCCGCCTTTGTCTCCCCCGTGTGCTGATTTTTTTTGTACACACCGCAACAGGTACTGATTTAAGGCTGAGTCGACCTAGCGGAGGCCCATGATTGGTTATAGCTATCCGTCGCTGCTTTTGTTCTTGAGCGGGAATCGAACTCGGCGTTCGTAGTGCGGTGCGCTAAGCACTGCGCCACCGCTCCCCCACGGCAACGTACACACAGAGAACACGCGCAACCGAGGCCGCGTTCGTTTTTGCACAAAGTCACCACCCGGGCCATTGGGCGAACACTCGCGTGGGGGTTGCAATATTCATGGATTAATAAAATAATAATAATAAAACATAATAAAATAAAATGTTATTATTTTTATTATTTCATTACTTCCCTTCTACGTGACTTTACCGAAAGAACCAAGAAGATGAATCCCTGCAGTCACGAAAGCTTTAAATCGAAATTCATGGATTACTTCGCACAAATGTCTCAAGTTGGGTGGACCTACTGTGAGCCCTCAATAACCGATAAGCTGCCCGGAAAATAAGGGCGTCCTTTGTTCGCAGTACGAGTGCGAACGCTTATTAAGGCTCGATTGAATTAATCGGTTGTGTAACTGGGTGGGCCGCCTCGGATTAAAAACACTTTTAATTAACTCTTGGCACCAACGTTGGTGTGCGTGTTTGAAACAGTTGGACTAACGTTGGGTCCAACGTTCCATGTCTACTGGGTACAGAGTGATAATCTGAACTGGTTCCATGCCCTCCACTCCCGATCCCCAGCCCGCACTGACCGGCATGGTGGAGAATGGTAAAAACAATTCCCATGACTGTAAGAGCGTGGAGATGCCTTCAATGCAGAAGTAGATTGAGGAGATGGAGTGATGAAACCAGTTCGTGTGCAGGTGTTACTCGGATTTTTACATCGTAGGGTCATGAGAGGTGGTTGCGGCGGCTTAGGGAGGCCTTCATCCAGCAGTGGATTGACCAAGGCTGTTGACGATGATGATGATGATGCTGACATTCCAGGGAAATAGGTGGATGTCTACAAAAGTGAATTCAATAAGCAGTGATGGCCCCTGAGCCATTGTCATCGGGAGGAGCTCAGCCTTGAGACTTCAAGTGGACGATCAACAACAGTTGCTCCCTCCTCCCTCTGGACAGGTTTCCTTTCGCGTGAAGCAGACGGAGTCATCGCAATTCAGCCATTAACACCGCCCTGAAAATCCCACGGTCGGTATTTGCGTCCGATTCTGTTGGCCCTCGGAGAGAGAGAGAGAGAGACGCAACGTTTCCCACTGACTGGCCTCGAGGGAGATTACTGGCCTGGTTTGGGGTTTTGTATTTTTTTGTCAGAGCGAGGCTTTAACGAGTAGACGCTGTTAATCGTCGTGCAATGTTCGGTCTCGAGAACGCGCGTGCACAGACACACGCGCGTGCACAGACACACGCGCGTGCACAGACACACGCGCGTGCACAGACACACGCGCGTGGCGCAGGGGGGTTAACGCGCGTGGCGCACGGGCCGCGTGCAATCTGTGCGCGAGGCGATTCCTTCGGTTTCGTCGTCCCACGGACAGCACCTGTGCTTGGAAACTCTCAAAAAGTTTCATGTTCAACAACGCGAATCGGAATATTGAATCATTTGTGGAGGAACGCGATGAGCTCTAAAGCTCTTCTTCACAGATGTCCAGTAGGGTTAGGGTCAGAACGTCACAACAACAAATCATACGAATACACGATATGATTGAAAAGTATAGGAAAGGTTAACAAATCACTTCAAAATATACACACAGAAAAGCTATATTTTTTTATCTTACCAGGCAAAGCCCACTGAGCTATTAACGTATTAACCAGAAGCGGCCTGGCCACAAATGATCGCTCAATAAAGTGGCTTATCACGTGGAAATGTATAGCAGCAAAATATTCGAAATCATCCAAATGCATGTTTTGTAAATGTGGAGGGAAAAACCGGAGGACCCCGGGCAAAGAGACATGCAAACTCCAAATAAACAACAGGCGCCGGGGTCGGGACCCAACCCCCGACCTCCTGCTTACCAGGCGAGGGAGATAACATCACACCAATAATCTCACGCCACACGGTAATTCGCTTATCGCTCGAAGAGAGAGAGAACCACTCGGAGGTGCGAGGAGCCGCAGAGAAGCGGGAAAGTGATGAGCCGGTGCCTACAAATTGCCTCGTACAATCATAAATCTCGATTTTTGTTTGCTGCTCTTCGTCAAACCACTTCTGGATCTGGATAGGTCTACCCATGTTGTGTTGGTGATTGGGCCTATTTGACCATACTTCACCATGCCGCAAAGAATAGGTTGGTGATGGGGGGGAGCTCTGGATGGGTACGTTGAACTTCCTTCGCACCGTACATAGCCAACCGTGATAATCGGAAGGATGCGAGGAATCGGAGGTGCCGATGTAGGTAGCATCATCACTGATGCACGCCGTGGCTGAGAAAACGAACTTAACATTTTCTTACCGCGGGCATAGTAAAACAAGCAAATTAGAGGCCACCCAATAGCGTTTGGGTCATTTTTCAAGGGAAAACCATGAAACATTATTAACCTTTTTCCGCCCACTGAGATTGAAATTACTATCCAAAGCAGGAGAGGACCATCTGGACGCTCCGCTTTTGAAGAGTCATTTTTCTCTGCGTCTAGCGTCTTCCTCATCACCGAGTGTCGACGCCCCACGACGTGAAGCATTCCGTCTTTCGCGACCTCCCTGTGCCGATCGCGTCCCGGGCCAGCCGCTCGCACTGTCCCACTAAACCCACTCGTTTCCTAACCCCAGCCTCCTATCTACGTTGAACTTCTTCCGCAGCGTGCGTAACCAAGCATTCTCCCTTGCAGAATCAGACTGTGATAAATTACGTCTTTTTTATTTTACAATATTGTTATTCAAGAACCCAGAATACAAAGTGGATGTCGAAGAGGAGGGGAAAACAGCGGGAAACGTGGAACAAACCCGAAGCGATCCACCCTCAAAACTAGGCACCGACCCGGGGGCGTCTTGGCTCGCTGCCCTCCCGTGGTAGGGGTAACGGTAGGGGTAACGGTAGCTGTAGCGGTAGAGGTAACGGTAGGGGTAACGGTATGGGTAACGGTAGCTGTAGCGGTAGGTGTAGCCGTAGGGGTAACGGTAGGTGCAGCGATAGGGGTAACGGTAGGGGTAACGGTAGGGGTAACCGTAGGTGTAGCGGTAGGAGTAACGGTAGGGGTAACGGTAGGGGTAGTGGTAGGGGTAACGGTAGGTGTAGCGGTAGGGGTAACGGTAGGTGTTGTGGTATGGATAACGGTAGGGGTAATGGTAGGGGTAACGGTAGGGGTAACGGTAGGTGTAGCGGTAGGGGTAACGGTAGGTGTAGCGGTAGGGGTAACGGTAAGTGTTGTGGTATGGATAACGGTAGGGGTAATGGCAGGGGTAACGGTAGGGGTAACGGTAGGGTTAACAGTAGGTGTAGCGGTAGGGGTAACGGTAGGTGTAGTGGTAGGAGTAACGGTAGGGTTAACAGTAGGTTTAGCGGTAGGGGTAACGGTAGGGGTAATGGTAGGTGTAGCGGTAGGGGTAACGGAAGGGGTAACGGTAGGTGTAGCGGTAGGGGTAACGGTAGGGGTAACGGTAGGGGTAACGGTAGAGGTAGTGGTAGGGGTAACGGTAGGTGTAGCGGTAGGTGTAGCGGTGGGGGTAACGGTAGGGGTAACGGTAGGGGTAGCGGTAGGGGTAACGGTATGGGTAACGGTAGGTGTAGCGGTAGGGGTAACGGTATGGGTAACGGTAGGTGTAGCGGTAGGGGTAACGGTAGGGGTAACGGTAAATGTAGCGGTAGGGGTAACGGTAGGGGTAACGGTAGGGGTAACGGTAGGGGTAACGGTATGGATAACGGTACGAGTAATGGTAGGGGCTAACGGTAGGGGTAACGGTAGGTGTAGCGGTAGGGGTAACGGTAGGAGTAACGGTAGGGGTAACAGTAGGTGGTTCTGGGTAATGGTAGGAAAAACGGTAGGGATAACGGTAAGGGTAACGATCAGGAGCAGGGTATTCATGGGGGAGATGGAAGAAGGGGGGGCGGGGGCGATAATGTAACCAAATAGAACCAGAAATAAACCAACATCAAGTCATGGTGATTGTAAAAACCAAACAGCCAAACGTGGTCGGTGCTTTGAGGGAAGGCGGAAGAGCGCGTGACGTCTTTTACAGATTCTCGAATGTCGCCTTTTAAAAACTCCGGGCCCTGTGTTCCCCCATTACATTCTCGCCTGTACATTACCGCTAATAATTCACAGCAGATACTGATGTAGCGCGGTCGTTGAAACGATGGTGCAAGTTTATTAAATCTCGCGCCTACGTCCACCCAGCAGCATACAAAGGGTACACCGTGGTTCGTCGATCAGCAGATCGCGTCTGGTGGGGTAATGCATGTTGAACTTCTTTCACACCGTATGTAATCAACCCTGCTAAGCGGAGGTGCACGGGAAACGACAATAAACTAAATACATAAAGCAGTTGCAAAAAAAAGAGTTTTCAATCTAGATTTAGAAGTGCATAGCTCCGGTGGCTTCCTATTAATTATCCGAAGGAAGAACGTTCCAGAGAGCCACAAAAGCGCATCTCGAAGCGCGAGATGCAACGACCGCATTTGTTCGATGGTTAATTTAAAGCCGCCGCCGCCGCTGCTGCTGCTGGTATGACGGGAGTTTTGCGCGATGGTTTATGCGCCTTGACGAGATCAGCTCGAGTAAAGTGTGGCTACTTTCACCTATTCCGAGCTGTCTGGCCAGCATGCGCGAGTAGGCCAAAATTCCCAGGAAAAGGGGAAGGTCTAGAGTTTCCCTCCAAGTGGAGGTCTTTCCAGCAAGCGGTCGCTGGGCTTTACCCTCCACCTACTACCAATGTGGACGCTTACAATAGAGACCAATGCTCCAACGATCTCGAGAGTTGTTTCAGTTACCATGGCGCTGACAGGAGGAAAAAAAAATATGAAAACAGAAAGAAAAAAAATCGTGGTACATGGCGAAAAATCCTGTTAAGAGTTATGTGATGAAACTGTGATTGATAGACACTTATTAGGAACCGTGGTGGCTTGTAATATACGGCATCATTATATTCGACATTTCATATTTGAGGTAGTGATATGTCACGATTTTATTGTGAATGAGACGTGTCATTTAAATGAGCTCCTGCGCATACATACAAATAAACAAATAAATACAACACTGCAGATTACTTTGGCAAGCCCGTGGGCTGTAATGAGAGAATGATGACGATAATAATAATAATGTCAACTTGTAAATGTGCAGCACAACGGAGAAGAGAGAACACGACAAGGAACCACGGACGAACGGGAAAGGCAGCCAAGCGGAGAGATTGCTTCAAAAATTAACCCCCACCCCCAAGCCCAAGCTCTGCAGTCCTCTATACAGTAAGGTGTTATCGATCAATGAATGAGTGTTTACACGTGAAAGGATATCGACGCACTCAGGTAAAAACCCACGTGAGCGAGGGGGAAACACTCTATTCCATATAGATGGAACAGGTGTGTGGGTGGGTGGGGGGGGGGGGGGAGATCCACATTTGCTGTACCACCTTCTCCGAGCAAGCCAAGGACACAGATCCTCTTCGACGCCCGCGGTAAGGGAGTTTCACACACCATCTGACATCTGCGTGCGAGCCGCCGTCCCATTTGTGGCTGTGCAGCATTTCAGGGGGCCCTTTTGGGCCTGCGCTCAGCATCCGTGATTTATCATTTAAAATAAAATACCCATACACGCAAAAATTCATCCCCCCCCCCCCCCCCATACCCACACGCACGGCTTTTAGCGCGGAGCGGCGTCTGTAGCCGAATAAAACATGGGCGTCGGAATTGTCGAGTGGCTAAAAAAACATTGCATTTTAAAGAACAACCGCCACGTGAAAGAAAACAAAACGTGCGGCACAATCAGAGGGCATCGTTGCGGTGCCTGCGTCGATGCCGATGCGTCACGCATCACGGGTGGGGGGGGGGGGGGGGAGAGAACTGGAACGCGGAGGGGGAGGAATGTTTTCCAAAGCGCTCAACGTTCACACGGCGACGACGAACAGTCGTTGGGCCCCCCCCCCCCTCCTCTCTCTCTCTCGCAACTCCGAGAGCAGGGCCTGGACATCCCCCCCCCCCACCCCCCGACTCTCACTCAGCCCTAGAGGCGTTGCGCCGTGCGGGGGGAAAGGGAAGTCCACTTTAAAACATTATTTCACGGTTGGTTTAACTTTGGCATAAAAAAATATATCTGATTTTGTTATTGGTGTTGTACGCCTTTCAAGGGATCCCTCTACTAACGGCGCGTTCGAGACTTGCTCTCAGGAATAGAGCAACGCTTAAGGGCCTCCACCCCCCACCAAGTCCGTGTTGTACAGAATTTCATCTCTCAGTACGACGCGGGAAATGCAATTTTGATCTACAAGTTTCCATCCTGATGGTGAATTGTATGCACTGCGTTAATAAAAACGTTATAAGGTCTTGTATTCTACGTTTGTAAACGATTTGGATATATATATGATTTTTTTTTTTTAAACCGTGCAATAACACAGCTTGGTTATAACCGACGCCGGTTGCCGCCTTGCATCTTCTCTCGCAGTTGCCCACATTAGAAGCCTTCTTCACTCTGTCTCGTGCAAATCCATTACCGTGGTCCAATTATCGTCTTGCAAAGGCAATCAATCAGCAGTCAGATGGCACACGGCCCCATGCTGGGCATCAGAGATGCACGTTGACTGGTTGCGGAAGAGAGCGGCGGAATGTCTTTAAGGGGTGACGATGAAAGGTTTATTTTTTTTTGTTCTTTGCGGAGGTGTGGATGGTACAGACTAGGGCTCAAAGATTTGGGGGAAATATCTCATTGCGATTTTTCTGACCGATATTGCGATTTGATTTACGATTAAATTTTTTTTTAAGTCAAGCTTCAGTTCAATATTCACTGTGTAATAGATTTAGAAACACGTGATGTAGCATTACCACGTGATACCATCAAAATATGAACTGCTCTATATATTCTAATGCAAGGATGAGAACTTGAAAGATATTAATCGCTTCCAACATGTATTTATTAAAATGCTTTCATTGAAATAGAACAATCACACATAGAACAATTGTTAAGTTAAATAAAGAAAGTTATAATAAAAAATACAACAATTCCAACAAGAAAGCAATAGGACTTTTCAAATCGCAAAAAAATCGCAGCCTTTGCACATTTGCTAATGGCATTGTTTCGCATTGCGATTTCGATTTCAAATCGATTAATCGTTCAGCCCTCGTGCAGATGCTCGTGCACTTAAAAAAAAACACTCAACATTTTGTTTTGTCAACGCCGCCCCGATGAAGCCATTAAAACCTCGCCTGGTCATTGGCGGTGGAGCCACAACGCTTTAATCCGACAGAGCGTCGGGGTGGAGATTCTCGATTCCCCTGCAGCGCAGTGAACTCCCTGCTGGAAGCAGCACGGCGAGTCCCGTTGCCGTCCTCCGACCATTATTAATTCCTATCGTGGGAGTGGTTTTTTTTCACAAAATATTTTTTGAAACACGTCTTGACGTTCACAGACATTTTCATTGGTTACAGTGAACCGCCCTCGCTCCCCGCTGCTGCCCATCCCATGTGGATATTGCCACTGGCAGGACCCTATCCACGAGACGTACACCTCTAATCCGCGCGATCACCCAGCGGGAATGTGGGGGCACGGGGCTCGCTTGTCTTTTTCATGAAACAATAAAAAAAACTAAAGCGGAAAGTAAGAGCACTTTCGCAGATATTTCATTGCGAAAGTGAACTTTGTTGATCAACGCTACTCTACCCGGAACACTTCCAGGGAAAACCAAAGAACGGCATCAAAGGTCACAGAGCAAGCCAGTGCCAATGGAGTCGCCGAAGAAAAAATGAAGCTCGCAAATGTTAACATTCCTTCGTGAATATGCGGTATTGTTATTTGACAGCTTATTGGCAACGCTCACAATCGCCCCCACTGGCTTTCGGCTACTTGGGAGACGTAAGCCATCCCAACGACACTCGAATGCCTGTGCTCACCCTACGGCTCCGGCCGTAAATGACGAGAAACTTATCGGACAGAAGATGCAAGTGCAGGCTGGGAACAAACGAGCATCATAACAACAACAACAATAATAATATTATTATTATAATAAACACGCACAAGACGAGGTGTCAAATGCAAAAAAAACGTGGAATTGCAACTGTACGATGGGTCTTCGCACAATGCCTTCCATGGCAATCACCACACTGCTCGTATAATGCACATGGTCTTGTTTTTGACATGCAGACCTCGAAAGAGTGAAAAGCGTGGCTGTTTTATTTACGACCACTCAGCGGCAGGACAATGAGACAACAGAATGCAGGCATCATCCTCGTTCAGGAATCGTCGGCAGAGTATAGCCATCATTACAAACAGCAGAATTAGCAACACAACGTCACTTGCGTATGAACAAAAAGAATAATGTCATACTGCGCCGTCACAAAACGTCTTAAAGTGCAGTGATTTAGCCTAGGAGACCCCTGAGCAGAAGCTTCTCGCTCTGTGGCACAAGGCGAACACAGCACCTGCCATCAAGTCAAGTGGGCATGAGTCTGCCAAGAGAACCGTAATACACGTTTCACCAGCTTGATGCGGAGTTTCTCCAATTTTCTGGCGTCCCTTCTGCCTGGTCTGGCCATCGTACCTTTCTTGTTCTCAAAGAAGAGGGTTTGCTGCGCCGGGTTGGACCACTGGATGGGCGAGCCGTCCGTGTGGTCCACGTGGCAGCTCAGCTGCAGCTCTTCTCCCTCGACGAGTGTGCCATTGCGGTTGGCCCACGCACGTACGTGGCCTGCCGGGGCGAGAGGGGGGGGGGGGCATATACAGCGGTTCTCATCAGTGACTCGCTCTCTCTTGCTCTCTCTCTAAGGCTTTCTTTCCGAGCGGCGCGCCCTCCCTGCCTGCCAGGCGCTCGGCAACGAATGCGGCGAGCGGCACCGATGGGAATCTCTTGCGATTTGAAAAAAATATTACGTGTTGCACACATACAGGGTAACTCAGACGCGTCAACGCAATTGTATCTCGAGTCGGCTTTAAATAAATAATGTCGAGGAAATAGTGCGAATAAAAATGTATTTAAGTAAATTTCCCCTAGCTTTTTGCTCTTTTGAAAACAATAAAAATCCGCGATAGACCTTTGTCGACCCATTGCTGGATGTCGGCGTCCCACAACACATCTCGGACAAGAGGAGGGACGGGGTTGTTTGACCATACTTCACCACGCTGATTAGTGATGGAAGCCCTGGAGCGGGCTCAGATAACACTCACCACTGATCTTACCCAAGGGCAGACAACTCACGTCGCAGGCTTTCACAGTTCAAATGTTCGCTAACCACTGACATCACTTCACCCCTTACACATTGTCGAGTCGTGTTTCATTTAGAAACCTTATTAAAGACATTTAAGTATCAATGTCCTAAAGAGTGTATGCATTTTTAAAAATATATATTTCAATTATTGCCGAACATAAAACATTTTATCCACTGTGCGACATTACAGCGGGAGTGGAGAGGTGGCACCACAGTGATCTGGGCACTGGGTTCTGAACCCAGCCACCGGAGTTTGATTCCCGCTCACAACTAACATCAGTAGTGAGTGATAGCTGAACCAGTTCTACATTCCCCCCCCCCCCCCCCCCACCTCACCAACTCTAAGTGACTATATTGGTGATGTAAAAGAAACTAAACCTTTTAATTTACAAGGTAAGGCCCACTGAACTATGTAGATCGTTTTCAGAAGCGGCCTGGCCATCGCAAATGATAACTCAACGAAGCAGCCTATCATCGCGTGGAAATGTATGCAAATACCCTAAACGCACGTTGATTCTAAATGTGGAGGGGAAAACCGGAGGACCTGGAGAAAAATCCACGAGACTACGGGGAGAGTGAACATGCAAACTCCAAATATACAGGCGTCAGGGTCAGGATCGGACCCAAGACCTGCTGCATACCAGGCGAGGGAGATAGCATCTCGCCACCGCGGTGCCCAAATGTAATCAAACAACCCTCGTGACCAACACAGCATCGAGAGGGCTTCATCCAACAGTGGATTTGGAAACAAAAGTGCTCGAAATAACGACACTTAATTTCGAAAAAGTACAGAGAAAAAAATGAAATTGCAAAATATGAAGCGGAAAGTTTGTGTCACAGCAAGAAGGATGTGTGACAATAGCCATCGCGAGACCAGGAGGTGATTCGCAGAGGATCTCCAATCACACTTTGTAATTTTCTCTGCAGCTTCCTCTCCCTGCATATCTCCTTCCGTGGCAGTGGGAACTCGACGCGTGCACGTTAAACGATCGCCCGATTTGATTGCATGCACAGCGGTAGGAGGAACGTGCGCATGATTACGAGTCAACTGCCATTTTTTATTTATTTCGTGTGTGTGATTTTGATGGCTGTAACAAGTCCGCTTCTGGACCGAAAGCAACTTTTGTGTTGCACATAACAACGCATCCACGTTCGAAATGTATAAAACGTAGGTATACCACTGCGCTGTTGGTGCCATGTCATGAGATGGAGAAATCTCCACTTGGAACTCTCACAAAGTAGTGCACCCCCCACACCCCCCCCCACCCCCTGCCAATCATGTTAGAGAATGGCCCGTGGAAGATAATAATGCGGAACTATTTCTGAGATCACTTTGCGTGCTGTCTTATCTACACTCATGGCTCTGCACATGCTGCTATAAGGTGCCACGGTGGCGAGATGTTAATTGCCTCACCTGGTGTGCATGAGGTCGTGGGTTTGATCCCGACCCTAACGCCTGTATATTTGGAGTTTTCATGTCTCTCTCACTGTGGTCGCGTGGATATTCCTCCGGGTCCCCTGGTTTTTCCCTCCACATTCAGAATCAACATGCATTCAGAGTATTTGGCTGCTGCTATAAATGTACACGTGATCAGCCACTTGGTTGAGCTATCATTTGTGGCCAGGTCGCTTCTGAAAAAGAGCTATATAGCTCAGTGGGCCTTACCTGGTAAAATGAAAAGTTTTTTTTTGGTATAGTTTAAATAGTTTGATTGAAAACCTAAACGTGCATTACGCAGTGCTTGGCAAACAGGTGAGGACCATAATATGCTGTCCGTTTCAGAATGCAGAATTATCGTGGGTGGCTGCTCAAATTCCAACCAAGGATGTTAGTGGTGCTGGTTCAGTGCGTCAATCGTCGAGTTACCCAGGCACCTCTTGCTTTTTGAATCGCGTTGAATTGCATTTTCAATTCGAAAAAACTTTTTTTTCCCCAGCGCGCACATCTTTAATATGATCCTGCTCTACTCTTTCGCAGCTCGCTTTCGCAAAAGTAGATGTAAAAGGAAAAAAAATCACAAGTCACGCGTTCTTTATGCAACTTTTTTAAATTCACATTTTTATACTGATATGTCGCTCACGTTGTTTTGCATCTGTGCATTCTCGCCGGTCTGTCTGATACTGATTGCAAGGCTGTGCCCGACCCATCTCAAAGCCGCATGCCAATAACAAAAAAAACATCGCGCCTCGACCGGAGTTTTCAGAGTTAATTTAAACGAGAAACACAACTCAGGATGAATCTAATCACGAGCGCAGACCACCGGTCAACTAACGTGGGCACGAACGGCCCTCGACTGACACATGATAGCCAGTTGACCCCGACTGATTATTTTAAAAAATATATATATTTTTACGCCCTTCATTCAATCAGGATGGAGCCCCATTGTGGATTCATCAATGCCCGGCAATGAGAGACCACGGACTTATGGGGACGGCGGGTCGCAGTGCCGTCACCTTTCGCTCGCGCGCGGTGACGTTCACCTCCCGGCAGCGTTTCGGCAACGGCATCGCCACAAAAAGTGCTCCACCCGTGACACTGACGATGAAGCCGCCGCATTTTCTTGGAGTTCTCCTTGCACGGTAGTGGATATTTAGCTTCAGCTTTCCAGCTCTTGGTCAGCCCCGACTGCTGAATGAATGCTCCCCCCGGCGCTGTGTCGGCGGTCAAGGGGCGGGGAGAATTGTTTGGCTGGGTTGGTGAAGTGGGGTGGACAGGGAAGCAGGTGAGACGTCACTTTACACTGATGTCACTCTACACTGATGTCACTCTACACTGATGTCACTCGGCACTGATGTCACTCGGCACTGATGCCACTCTACACTGATGTCACTAGGCACTGATGTCACTTGACACTGATGTCACTAGACACTGATGTCACTCTACACTGATGTCACTTGGCACTGATGTCACTAGACACTGATGCCACTCTACACTGACCTCACTTTACACTGATGTAACTCTACACTAATGTCACTCGGCACTGATGTCACTCTACACTGATGTCACTCTACACTGATGTCACTCTACACTGATGTCACTCGGCACTGATGCCACTCTACACTGATGTCACTAGGCACTGATGTCACTTGACACTGATGTCACTAGACACTGATGTCACTCTACACTGATGTCACTAGACACTGATGTCACTCTACACTGATGTCACTCTACACTGATATCACTCGGCACTGATGCCACTCTACACTGATGTCACTAGGCACTGATGTCACTTGACACTGATGTCACTAGACACTGATGTCACTCTACACTGATGTCACTAGGCACTGATGTCACTTGACACTGATGTCACTAGGCACTGATGTCACTTGACACTGATGTCACTCTACACTGATGTCACTCGGCACTGATGTCACTCTACACTGATGTCACTCTACACTGATGTCACTCGGCACTGATGCCACTCTACACTGATGTCACTAGGCACTGATGTCACTTGACACTGATGTCACTAGACACTGATGTCACTCTACACTGATGTCACTTGGCACTGATGTCACTAGACACTGATGCCACTCTACACTGATGTCACTCTACACTGATGTCACTAGGCACTGATGTCACTCTACACTGATGTCACTAGGCACTGATGTCACTTGACACTGATGTCACTAGGCACTGATGTCATTTGACACTGATGTCACTCTACACTGATGTCACTCTACACTGATGTCACTCGGCACTGATGTCACTCTACACTGATGTCACTAGGCACTGATGTCACTTGGCACTGATGTCACTAGACACTGATGTCACTCTACACTGATGTCACTTGGCACTGATGTCATTTGGCACTGATGTCACTCTACACTGATGTCACTTTACACTGATGTCACTCTACACTGATGTCACTAGGCACTGATGTCACTAGGCACTGATGTCACTCTACACTGATGTCACTAGGCACTGATGTCATTTGGCACTGATGTCACTCTACATTGATGTCACTTAACACTGATGTCACTAGGCACTGATGTCACTAGACACTGATGTCACTCTACACTGATGTCAATTGGCACTGATGTCACTAGGCACTGATGTCACTAGACACTGATGTCACTCTACACTGATGTCACTTGGCACTGATGTCACTCTACACTGATGTCACTAGGCAATGATGTCACTAGGCACTGATGTCACTTGGCACTAATGTCCCTAGGCACTGATGTCACTCTACACTGATGTCACTCTACACTGATGTCGCGAGGCACTGATGTCACTCTACACTGATGTCACTCTACACTGATGTCACTCTATACTGATGTCGCGAGGCACTGATGTCACTCTACACTGATGTCACTTGTCACTGATGTCACTAGGCACTGATGTCACTAGACACTGATGTCACTCTACACTGATGTCACTTGGCACTGATGTCACTAGGCACTAATGTCACTCTACACTGATGTCACTAGGCAATGATGTCACTCGACACTGATATCACTCTACACTGATGTCACTTGGCACTGATGTCACTAGGCACTGATGTCACTCTACACTGATGTCACTTGGCACTGATGTCACTTGGCACTGATGTCACTCTACACTGATGTCACTCTACACTGATGTCACTTGGCACTGATGTCACTAGGCACTGATGTCACTAGGCACTGATGTCACTAGGCACTGATGTCACTCTATACTGATGTCACTTGACACTGATGTCACTAGACACTGATGTCACTCTACACTGATGTCACTCTACACTGATGTCACTAGGCACTAATGTCACTTGGCACTGATGTCACTAGACACTGATGTCACTATGCACTGATGTCACTTGGCACTGATGTCACTAGGCAATGATGTCACTCTACACTGATGTCACTCTACACTGATGTCACTTGGCAATGATGTCACTCTACACTGATGTCACTCTACACTGATGTCACTTGGCACTGATGTCACTTGGCACTGATGTCACTCTACACTGATGTCACTCTACACTGATGTCACTCTACACTAATGTCACTTGACACTGATGTTACTAGGCACTGATGTCACTAGGCACTGATGTCACTAGGCACTGATGTCACTCTATACTGATGTCACTCTACACTTATGTCACTCTACACTGATGCCACTCTACACTGCTGTCACTAGGCAATGATGTCACTTGGCACTGATGTCACTCGACACTGATGTCACTTGGCACTGATATCACGCTACACTGATGTCACTCTACACTGATGTCACTAGGCAATGATGTCACTCTACACTGATGTCACTAGGCACTGATGTCACTCTACACTGATATCACTCTACACTGATGTCACTCTACACTGATGTCACTTGGCACTGATGTCACTAGACACTGATGTCACTCTATACTGATGTCACTAGGCACTGATGTCACTAGGCACTGATGTCACTTGGCACTAATGTCACTTGGCACTGATATCACTCTACACTGATGTCACTTGGCACTGATGTCACTAGACACTGATATCACTCTACACTGATGTCACTTGGCACTGATGTCACTTGGCACTGATATCACTCTACACTGATGTCACTTGGCACTAATGTCACTAGGCACTGATGTCACTTGAAACTGATGTCACTCGGCATTGATATTACGAGGCACTGACGTCACTCAGGCCACCAAATTAACTGTAAAGTGCACTGATCACTTTGGCATCGTTCCATTTTATTTAATATAAATTATATATTTTTTTACAATGGTTCAGATGTCACTCGCCACCTATGTCGGCTTTGGCCAAGGAATTTAATTCAGGTGGCTGGGGTTCCAGAGCAGAATTCGCTAACCACGGTGAAACTGCCTCTACCCCTCGGCAAACAACACACTTTGGTAATTTCGTACAACACTTGACCCACGGCTGTGGGAATTGAACCAGCTGACCCTCGCGCAAACTGGCCCAGTGGCGAATGTGCTGACCGCTCAGGCTCTCAAACCCGCTTGCATTGAAAGACAAAAATGCTTTGACTTCCTTTTTCTTCTCCGTGCGGACGGAACGGCGAGCTCATAAAAAGTGAGTAGTTTTCTTCCAAGTAACAGCGCCTTCAATGACTTCCACTTGGGAATCCGATCTTTGTTCCCATGCTGTGCAGAACGTCACACGAGCACAGTGCGTGAGGTGCTTCACTGGGGAAATTAAGCTCGCGTTCTTATCTGATATAAGAAATTAAATTCTAAATCGTGTCTCAGAAGAGCGGGCCATTGAGGGCCTTATGTCAAGGCCACATTAAGAGCCCAGAGGACTGTAGCAATGGCGCGGAACAGAGCATGCAGAGTGTAGATATGCTTACACCAAAAGCTCTACTCAAACACCGTACTCTACGGCCTTTAATAGCTCGTACTGACACCAACTGATACCACAGGCTGCAAGTCGGACACCCGGAAGAGGAGGGTCAGCTTTAAGGATTTCTTTCAAACAAATATATTAGAAACAAAATGTGCCCAGTCTCATCAGATGTCAGAAGTAAAGCAGAAGTGATCCTGGTTAGCACAAGGATGACCTTGCCCCATGCACGGTGAGTTTGCCGCCGGCATTGGCCAGGTCTTTGGACGCTCAGGCGGGCCTTCCAGAGTAAATCGTCACTATTGTTGAGATTGCATTCGGCTGTTGTAGGGTAACAATCGCACCTCCGATCAGCACGGTTGGCTACGTGCACTGCGAAACATGTTCAACATAGTACAACAATGACATCAAGGCAGCCTTCAGAGCGGCATTTTTTCACGCGAGCTCTGCGGTGTTACGCTCAACGCAGCGCGAGACTGTGGATGAGGGCGCGGGAGCACACTCAAGAATTTTCTCCTGTCCCGACACAAACTCAAGTTTTGTTTTTTTTCATTCTCGGAGCACTTACCTAAAATAAACATGGGCACGCGCACGCGCGCACACGCGCAACATCAGCGGCCTGTGAGCAAGTTCAGTGTGCGAGTGGGAATCAAAACGGCGACGATTAACAGTGCAGTGTTGCACGGTGTTGAAGTGCGACAACACTCCACTTACCCTTGTTGTTGTTTTTCTGGCTTTCCACTGTCCCCCCCCCCGGCCGCCGACAAGGGATCGCGGCAGATGACAGGAGAGGGAAGACGCACACACACAAAGGCAATTCATAATTAAACCGTGCGTACCACCAGATATTTAATACATTATTCATTGAAATGTAAAAAAAAATGTACGTTCACATTCTTTTTTTGTTCGCGCAGTTCCAATTGACGGTGCTTCAAAGCGATTGAAAATGCCTTTTTTTCCTGTCTTCGCTCCTCGATGCGGCTTTGACGTGGGATTAGAAAGAAGTTACCTGAAAGAAGGGTGCCGGAGAGAGTCCGTTTCATGTTCAGGGTCTTAGGCGAGGAATACCAAGACATTCCGCTCTGATTTTGATATCTCATCACTTTCTATAGCTACCCTCGATTTATACTTCTTTATTATTAGATAGGTTTTATATATATATGCGAGACAGACCTCTTTGAAATATACTTTCATAGTATTACGGCATGCTTTTAGATGTCAGGGACCACAGTGGCGAGATGTTAATAACCTTGCGTGGTATGCAGGAGGGCGTGGAATCAATCACGACCCTTACACCTAGATATTTCGAGTGTCCTTGTTCTCCCCGTGATTGCATGGATTTTTCTCCGGGTCGTCCCGTTTCCCTTCCTCATTAAGACTCAACATGCGTTTAGAGTATTTGGCTGCTATAAATTGCCACATAATGATATACCACCTCGTTCAGCTATCAATTGTGGGCAGTTCGCTTCCGAAAAAAAAAACATCTATATAACTCAGTGGGCCTTAACTGGGACAATAAAAAAAATGTTTAGTTCATATCATTGCATATGCTGCAAGTGCAGACGAATGCTACGGGTATCGTGGCCATAACTCAGAAACAAATGAGTGGGCGTGAAAAGAGAACTGTGTGACCGCACACTGAGACAGAAAGTGCCATTGTACCGACAGCCTCGTCCCCAAACGCCTGGAGGATTCTAGATAAGGCCGTGAACACAAGTTTTCTGCGAACACTCGGTCAAAATGCGATGGGCAGGTAACGTACGCGGACAGACGGGGACACGGATTTGGTAACGCGGCGAGACTGGAAGGGGACAGAGAGAGTTGCAGGGAGGTGCCCGGCCACTGCCAAGACGATGCCAGACGTGGAAAGAGCCTATGAAGCAACTTTGTTATTCTTATGCCTTGCAAGACATCTGCAAACGTTTTTAATTCTTCATAATTCATTGTAAAAAAAAACTACACGCTCTCGCATTCACAAACAAAAATATTTCAGACGAGCCATGTTGGTGCTAAAACACCGCTCTCTACGTGTTGTTGGCTAGAATACTGGCCAAAACAATACTCGACAGTGGGGGGTTTTTTTCCACGTGAAAAATCAGAAAATGCGGCTGGGTTTTGTGCTGCAACAACGCCGCCCTTTCACGCGCACCCCTCGGAGAGAGAGAGAGTGCCTTTTCCCAAACGCAGGCGGGAATGCGTTACAAAATGATCACACTGGGCAGAGATGAAGTGAACTGAGAGGCCGGGGCTGACGTTTGAAGAGAGGGAGAGAGAGCCAGACCCCAGTGGAGAAGGATAAAAGTGCAGTAATTCAAGGCATCCCCCCCCTCTCTCCCTCTACTTACGAGAGAGGTGACGGGGGGTGGTGGGTAAGCCTTCGTACATACAACGAGCTCAAGCAGCCAACACCACACACTCTTATCGGTTGCTCGCTCAAGAGTTAACATATCATCCGGATGGATGGTCGTAAATCAGGGTTCATAGGTCAGGCTGCGAGTATCCACCCGCTCCTTCTCTTAACTTTTTTCCAAATTCAGCCGTGTCGCAGGGAATGGCTGGCAGTGGATCATAACTCACCAAGATCAAGATGAATACGTGTAACACTTAACGTGGTCTATTTCCATGCCGCCGCACGCCAAGAGAAAGGGAACGGCGAAAACCGTCACATCGGCCCAAAAAAATTTAAATCCACCGACCAGAATGCATTATTAATTAGGAGCATCAATTTAACTTGTCGGGGAGGGGGGGGGGGGGTCAAGGAACAGCACAGTGGTGGCTTCCCAAATCTCTGGCCCGGATTTAGCTGTTCCGGCGGCTCTCGCGCAAGAGAGAGGGGCAGAATTGCGAGCCGCGTGCGAGCGCTTGGACCACTCGAGGCCAATCGCTACCTCGCGTTGTCGAGGCCGGAATTAGGGCCCTTTGGTTGGACCGCGCCGCGCAAGCGGCGATATCCTGCGGCTCGGTTTGGGCGTCCTCTACGCGCCCTGTCTGCCGGCACGCGCGCGCGAAGGAGAACGCACGCGCACGCTCCGGCATGCATACGTGCGTGAAATCCTCAAGCGGGGCGGGAGGGGCGGCGGGGATAAAACGCTGCTGATGAAATTGCCATTTTAACACGCTGCAACACCCTCCGACAACCCTGACGCGCACACGAACCCCACGCGCACAATTGCGGACCAGAGCGACCTCCGCGCTGCTTTCATTTGCAGCGCACCTTCTCCACCCTCCTCGGCGTCCGCACATCGCTGCCGTCTGCCAACGCGTCTGAGACGGCGGAGGAGCGACCGTTGCATAATGGAACAAACGGGGAGCTCATCACGGCCCTTAATAAGCGACGGCGCGATGATGGATCGGCTCTGCCTCGACGAGGCATCCACCGCGGCGCGGGCACGCGTCCCGTTCGTTTACATTTCACCGGGGCGGCGCTTTAAGGGCAAAACGAGGCGGAATGTGGCCACGTGTATACCAAATTTGTTTTCGAAAGTAGAAATAACAAGGCCACTTTTGTAAATAGAAGGAAACATACGGAAACGTTGGGATAGTGGCCGGAGTCTAAAAAAAAAATAATGATATTCGCCAGTGCGGAGTATGCCGTTGTGCCGCATGTCCGACTTGATCAATCGCAGATATTGGGAGGAAAGACGGAGGCGAAATTCACCAACTGACCTCCTACGTGATATCAGCAGAGTGCCAAAATGTACAAAAAAATGTAGAATTGTAGTTGATTCGGGCACTCACCAGTTAGCAACAGAAATGGCCCCGGCATCTTTTGATATGTAGCACTGGAGCACCAATGGCAAGGAAGGGAACTCACGTTTGGATAAAGTTTGCGATGATGAAAACTCAACAAGTGGCACTTCATGGGTAACAAATGCCGCTACAACGAGCGTCCTACGCGGGAAATTTTTTCTCGAATGTATCGGTTTAAGCAGCGCCACACGAAGCACAGCTACGCTCAACAATTTAAACATTCAAGGCATTTATAGTTTAATTCAAACAATGCCGTCCACTGCCCGTGGAGTCGAGTTTAGAACCCATCCTCAGCGTGTGTGTCTATCGCAGGAGTGGTCGTGGGTACCTTCATCATCGCGAGGGAACTGCTCATAGCACAGCCTCGCCCACTGAACCTACGTACGACGCTCACCCCGTGAACCTCCATGTTTTCCTTCACAAGGCCGGATGGTCGAAACGTCAATACATTCCTTTCCTCATAATAAAGGGGGGGGGGGTGGGGAGGGTTGGGTTAGAGCGAGTAAATATATAAATGTGTCGTTAGCCAACGACCACCCGACACAGTCAATTAGTAAGGTTCGTCACGTGAACAAAACGTGCCAATTAGTTACGACTTCAGCGTACAGGTGTGTTGGAGAGCAAACCCACAACATTCACAATTTGAGTTCACGACGTTTCGCTGCTGATCACAACAACCAGATTCATCAGACGATTATGCGATATAACCCCCCCCCCAAAAAAAACTCTATTCTGACTAATATTGGTAGAGAAAGCCTCCCTTTCCCTCTTGGTGACAGCATATATGTCAACCTCTTCTAAGGCGTTTCGGCCATCGCGGATGAAGAACCAGAGCGACACTCTGGAGCGAGGTTCTCTCGAGTTCGCCGCAGCGGGCGGCCCTTCCATCAGCAATTGCACGGCAGCACCTATAAGGGTTACCTGTGTAACGGTTACCTGCGCAACGGTTACCTGTGTAACCTTTACATGCCATTGTGCAGACGCAGCAACTGCACGCGAACGTCATGCGCGCCGCACTTAGCCAACCGTGCACAGACAACAAAAAAAACGACCATGCGTCTATAGAATACTAAGATGCTCTGATATAGAATACTATATACGCATATTTAAAAAAAAAGTCAACAAAGGTGTCAATTACACTGCCTTAAAGAGGGAGGAACAAATGCATCTACTAAGTTAAATGTTGTGGTAATGTCCCCTCTCCATAGCACGTGCAACCGCTGCCGACGCAGCCACCACCGAGTCATCTGCTCTCCCGCACGTATATTTTACGGACTGCTGCGGACCCGGACTTTGATGAAGACCACCACCGCGGCAGACGGTGACGGGTGATGCCGCGTGCGAAGCGCGAGGTGGAGGGGGGAGCGGCGGAAATGAGCGATTCGTGAAAGAAGAGGCGAGGAGTCTCGCGTGGTGGTGGGTCTGGGAGGTGATGGGAGGTGGAGGTGGTGGGGGGGGGGTATTGTGATTCATGGCGTTGTCTAAACAAGTGCCCCGCGCAGGGGACCGCTCCCCTGGGCCCTCTCGCCGCTTGACTGCGCCGCTCCTGCCCCTCGTGTTCTCTCGCCCGAATGTGAAACCGCTGTCAGGACAGCTCTCCGGCCCCACCCCCCACCCCCCATCCATCCATCCGCCTTCTTATTGACTCGGCGAATGCGCGGGCTGTGGTCTCACGGACGGATCCAGACTGCAAATGCAAACGAGTCCCTGGGTGGACCGGGCTCAAAGAATGAAGTGTGCGCCCGGCGGTGCTGGTGATGACGATACTCAGAGCGTTCAGCGAGCCGGTTGCTGCTTTGCTCCTCTCTCGGCCCTTGCCGTGGACTGCAACAGCCCCGGAACGTCAGGGGGAATGGAGCTTCATCTCCTCCCTCACACCCCCCCCCCGCCATCTCCCCCCCCCCCCCCACCCTGGTCTCTACGGATTATACATTGTTATAGTCACGTAAATAAATATTTGTACTGTACAATATTTACATAGGGGGTGAGAG